CTATGAGGTGGATTGATTCAGTGACTGGGATAATTGGGATGGGAGTGTCAGAGACAGTGCGATTGGCACAGGACAGAGCGGAGTTTAGGGCTGTTGTACACAGGGTCGCTATGAGTCGCAGGCGACTCGACGGCACATAACAACAACAACAACAATTGCAGCCATTGTCTTAGTCCATCTTGTTGATGAAAAGAAGTCTTCTTTTTTCTGACCCTCTGTTCTACCAAGCATGATGCCTTTCTCCAAGTACTGGTAACATGCCCACGGTATGTGAGAGTGGTGGCATGGTTCTGTAGGGCTGCTCTACATTCTGTCTCTGCATTAGGTCAAGTCACTCATCAATATTTTATTCCTTGAACTGCTAGTGCTACAAAAAACAGGATGATGCAAGGATTTCCCATGATGTCCTGTGTACTTTTTTAGGCACTTATTGTTGTTAGGGACCATAAAGTTGAAACCAACTTAAAGCTGGCTTAAAACTTGGAACTCCTTACTGGATTTTCAGAGGCTGTAAATTGCACAGGAAGATTGTCTGTGTTTTCCCTGTGGAGTGGCTGGTGGATTCAAACCTCATTCCTTGGGGTTGGCAGTACTATTCCTTCCCACTACGAGGCCACCAGAGCTCCCTTTTCTATTTGCTTAGTAATAAAAATATACCTCCAGTGATGTAGTCTATATGGAGTTGCCATGCTCACCTACACACAGCATGTCTCTTTTGGTTCAAATCCACCAGCAGCTACACCAGAGAAAGATGGACAATCTCTTCTCATGTGATTTACATCTTTGAAAGCCATTTGTGGCCATTCTACTCTATCCCAAATGGTCACTATGAAATGGAGTCAACTCAATGCTAATGGCTTGCATGCTTATGAGAGGACAGCAAATCAATGCCTACAAGTGAATATTTTTAGTGGTTTTTTTGTTGTTTTATTTTCTTCACTCTGAGCACTTTGGTGGGCTAACTCATGACACTATTTCAAGGGAACCAAGGTTGAAGTTGTGATCTTTAACTGGTTTAGAGAAAAGCTGTTCCAAGTCTGCAGAGGGCTCAGGCCACCCACTTGAGTACTTTTCAGGTGTGTTCTGTGATCATACTGGACTCCAGGAGAAAATAGCCGTGACGTATTACACTGTGTTCTGATGCAAGGGAAAGGATGCAGGCTTGATGCTCTCAAGATTAAAAGCAGGTCATTTTCTCCCTGAAAGACAAGAGTTTTCAAATTGTTGAGTTTAAAGTTATATCTGTCTACCAAGTGTTTTTGCGCCTTGTGCTAATAATAGTGCAGATAATCTGCAAACTAGTGAGATACTTTTTATACCCTTTAACAGTATCATGTGCAAATTTTGTGTTGCATTTTTAGATCATTGTTGTTTTGCCTGATATAAAGGATTATTATTAGATAATTTTATAAGATCGTTTTATCTTGGGACTTAATAATTTTTATTATATCTCCTATTTTCTCCCTAAATCTTTCACAGAGCACATGGCGCTTTTTTTTACTGCATATGAAAGTACTACTGCTCTGTAGGATATTGATAAACTTGAGGCTTAGAATTAAACTGGACAAAGCATTTGGAAGTTTTGAACAGTTTTGTTAGCATTCCAAATTAGAAATCTGCTATATCCTATCTTTTTTTATGTGTGTGGTGCACACAGAGATACTTGGAGACAAAGAAAGAAATGCTATTTACTAAATTGTGCCTCTTAAAAATGTGTATTATGAATCCTAACCCCTGTACCTGTGGTTATAATCTCATTGGCAATTTTTTTGTTGTTATGTTAAGAAACTGTGTCAGTATGTTTTTAGCACTTTGGGATATAAAACAAACAGATTAGGACAGAGAAAACAAGTGGAGATGGGGAAAATATAAGGTTTATGACCACCAAAGGACCTAGGAATAAAAGCTGGAAGGATAGCAGGACCTGGTGTGTGTGTGTGTGTGTGTGTGTGTGTGTGTGTGTGTGTGTGTGTGAGGGTGCGTGCACATGCATGTGTGTGCACTGAGGAAAAAGATTATTATGAAGATTTGGACTGTGGGGAAAGGTCCGAGAAAGAGAGGATGACCCTCAGAGAGATGAAGTGGGTCGGTGACTGTAACAATAAGGTTGAGTTTATCAGACATTGTATACAGCCTGGCTATGAGTCACAGGCGACTCAACGACACATAACAACAACAACAACATAGCAGACATGGAAAGCATGGGGCAGGATAGGGAAAGGTTCAGATCTGATGTTCATAGAGTCACTATGGGTTGTAGCCAACTTGATCACACATAAAAAGAAGAATAAGCTTTGTCTGGAACTACACCTAGAGGTGACAGAACTGGGGGATGAGAGATAGTTGCTTTCTATTCCTTGGTCTCTCATTTGGGGTCTTCTTGGTCTTTGTTTCCTGTTTGCTGCTCTCTTCCTTGCTTTGGGGAGCTCTGGTAACCCAGGTGGGAGCTGTGTGCTAACCCAAAGGTGGCACCTTTCCTGCCATTTACATCCAGCAGTCCCAGCAGTGGAACGAAGAAAGACAGTTTCCTCCTGTGCAATTTTCAGCCTCTGAAAACCCACTAGAGACTTGGTTGTGACTTGACAGTAATAAATTGAGTTCTTATTCTCTTATTTCCAGGTAGTCACCTGCCCTCACTTGAAAACTCTCTCTTTCAAATTAAGTATGAGTAAGTTCTTTGCAATTACGTGCTATGCATTGGAGAGTTGGACAGTGAATAGGGATGATAGAAAGAGAACTGATGCCTTTGAGATGTGGTGCTAGAGAAGAGTGTTGAATATACCACGGATTGCTAGGAGAACAAACAGGTTTGTCCTGAAGATGGTGAAGCCGGAATGTTCCCTGGAGTCAAGGATTCTGAAGCTTCATCTGACATACTTTAGGCATGTTGCAAGGAGGGACTGGTCCTTGGAGAGGGACATCAAGTTTGGGAGAGTGGAGGAATAGTGCAGGAGAGGAAGACCTTCAATGAGATGCATCGATTCTGTGAGTGGAGTGGTGGGAATGAGTGTGTTTGAGACAGTGACGTTGGCACAGGATAGAATGGAGTTTAGGGCTTTTGTACACAGGGTCACTATGAGACGCAAACAACTCAATGGCACATAACAACAACAACAACAAGTTTTATTGGCTTTGCCGATTAAGATTGATCCAGTGGTAGAAGCTGACCTACTAGAATGCCCAGTAGTTAGCCAGGAAGCCTTTAGATGGGATGAGTTAGGACAGATGTCCCCCTGGGTCCCAAATGATTGTTGGTGGCTCCTCTGCACAGAGAGAAGCCTGAGGCTCCTGACCTGAGCAGGACGATGTTACCTGGGAGATGGACACTGGATGGGGAGTCAAACAGCTTCTTAAACTTTCATATATTTATTTCCATTTATACTTTTGTAGGCATTTTCTCCTATATTCTTTTTGAACGTTTTTTTTTAAATATGCAAAACCTAAGTAAGAAAATCAAACACAAAATCGGCCCCCCAACTCTCTGTGTTCTGCTGAGTACTCCCCAACTATTTCTCTGTATTTTCTTATCATTGCTAAAGGTAATGAACATTCAATTTTATATATTTCTTGTTTAACATTAGAGCATAATTTCATCTCGTGTATATAAATATTTTTCCAAATTGACTAATTAGCTGCAATATAGACTGTATAGATAGCTGTGCTGTCTGTGCTTAATCTGCGTTAGACGTTTAGATGATTTCATCTTTGCTTATTAAAATTTATCAGCATTTCAGATGACTTCATTAAGACAAATTCCTAGAAGTCAACTTACAGAGTCTAAGAGGAGAAAGGGATTTGAAAATCTTTTAATTGCTTTTCTGGGCGTGTGTTTTGATTTTCTCTTTTCCCAGCAGTGTACGCATGAGTCTGTCTCCCACACTGGCACAGCATTTTTAGATGGGTCTTACTATGTTTAAAAATGATACTTGCTTGTTATTTTATTTATTTCTAATGATTTTTTAATGGGTTATTTTCTGCCGGCACTGCTGTAATAAAACAGCTGGTAGCCTACTCATGTCTACACAGAAAACCTTGCCTTTCAGCATTCACCATTTAGATAGATGCTAAGTCGGTGTATATCTGTGTCTCTTCTAGCCCTCATACACAGAATTTGACATCAGTGGCAACGTCCTCGCTCTGATCTTCAATCAAGGCATGATCTGGTAGGTCAGCAGTGGTAACCCCATCACTTATGGAAAAGGTTTCCATGGTCATTTATTATGGAAGGTACTGTGGCTTGGTGTCAGAGGAGGCCACGTCTACGTCTAATTCATTTGCCTTGACAAAGTGAATGACAATGAATAGCTTAGCCCCCAGCACTCCATATCTTCAACGTAAGGAATGGTGATGATACAGTGGGTAAGCCCTCAGATGCTAATCCATGAGAAGTTTGAACCCACCAGTGACTGCACAGGAGAAAGACGAGATTGTCTGTTGCTGTAAAGATTTATAGCTTTGAAAATCCTACTGGGAAGTTCTACTCCGTAAAACTATTGATCTTTTCAGTGTTGACATTAACTCGAAGGGAACACATTTATTTGAACCCAAGTTCTCAGTGGAAAATATGCCCATTTCACAGAACACTCCTTTGACAATTGTAAGGGTCTGTTTTCTGTAGATTTTTAACTGTTTGGTGCAAGCAGTTCACCTGCTTGACAGTTAATTGAGAGACTAGAAGTTCAAGCTCATCCATAGGCCCCTCAGAAAAAAGGCCTGGTGACCTACTTCTGAGAAGTCAGCTGCTGACAACTCCATTGAGCATAGCTCTGTTCTGACACGTGGAATCATTATCTGTCAGATCAGCTCAGTGGCCACTGATTTACTGGCAGACTTCATTTAGATTTTCATATTTCTATCTCCTGTCACAGCAGGATCTAAGAGTGAAACAGGGTAAGTAAGAAATAAATTGATACAAGGCTTTTCTGAGAAACTGATTTGATTGTGTGTGTCGTAATTATTGAATATATTTAAAATGCAAGGTATCCATAATTTTAAAAATATCTTACCAAATTCAATTGTTTATAGAAAAGAAGGTAAAGCAAAAAAAAAAAAAATGTGATCTTAACTTTGTAATCCATTTCATACTTATTTGCAGATTAGAATTATTTCTTTTGATGTACAAAGAACTGCGGTATCCTTTGTGGAATGAGTGCATTCTCACTGTAAATCCTGACAGGTTAAAAAGAAGAGATACAGAAGAGACAGGTTTTTAGTTTAAAAATTTAATCACAGCACACAATTCATCTGGGAACTCTGTGTGGTGGAAATCTGTCACTTAACTAAGACTCAATCAACACTCAAGCAATTAATAAATGAGCTGCTTTATATTGCTGAAGATCATCCAAAAATGGATAGATCAGTGCATCGACAGGGAAGGGCCAGAAGTTCAAGCTAAATTTAGAAGAGGCGATGGCAGCAATGTTATCATTGCTGATGTCAGATGGACCTTGGTTGAAAGAAGGGAATACCAGAAAAATTCATTCATTGTTGCACTTTTCTCCCCTCCCAACCCTCCACCTAGTACAATACCCTCTTGGAAAAGTAAAAGAAAAATTCTTTCATTGTTTTACAAACCCTCTCCCAGGTACACTCCACTACACAGCCTTCACTCTGGACTCCTGTCATGACAAAAATACCTAATCACATATCCCTTTTAAACAGTTTTCTCCCTCATTTGTTTCAATGCAGTATACATTATTGAATCCATCTTTCTCAATTTCCCCCCAATCCCGAAGTCAGTCCTGTTTTACAACAGTGGCACCATGCAGTATTTGTCTTTTTGTGACTGAGATACTTCACTCAGTATAATGTCCTCCAGGGTCACCCATTTTGCATAATATTGCATGAGTTCCTTGTTTTTCAATGCAGTGTGTGAATATACCACAGCTTTTTATCCATTCATTTGTTGATTGGTGAAGTCATGGTCTTTTCAATTACTTGCTACACATCTGAAGGTTGGACAATGAATAAAGATGATAGAATAACAATTGATGTCATTAAGTTGTGGTGTTGGAAAAGAATGCTGAACATCCCATGGACTGCCAAAAGAACAAGCAGATATGTCTTGGAAAAAGTGAATCCAGATTGCTCCTTGGAGATAAAGATGGCTAAGCTTCATCTCTCATACTTTGAGCATGTTGCTGGGAGAAGCTGTTCTTTGGGACATCATGCTTGGAAAGGTCATGGAAAAGGTCAATGAAAGAGAGGAATTAATCTCAAGGACATGGATTGACACAGTGACTGCAGCAATGTCCTTAAGTGTGTCGGATGGGACAGGATAGAACAGAGTTTAGGTCTGTTGTTCAGAGGGTCACTCTGAGGTGTACTTGACTCTACAACACCTAACAACAGCAACATGCTGAATACAAGACTGTGTTAGCCACGCCACAATTGTTCTTTGCATAAGTACCAGTAACTAGCTTTAGTTTTTAAGCAAGCTTCATACATTACTCAGCCCTTTTAATCCCAGTTGGCTTTAAATATTAAGCATCTGCGTTGGTAGACTGTACCTCTCTGCAAATGATGATATTTGTCTGACTTGAGTTATGAGCAGACCATTTTCACACACCCCATCGTCCTGCTACAAAGCCTGTCAGAGTTCTGTGTCTTATTAGGTGAATCAATAGAACAGATTATTCAAACATTATTTTCTGCGTTGTCAGACATGTCTAGGAAGGCCCTTCCTGTCCCCTCACTTTCTGAATTTTGTTGAGTTACAGCTTGCATATTCATAGCAACACCAGGAAGTGAAAAGTGTCCTTTATTCTCTAGGCAGAAGGGAAAATCAAAGTGACCTCATGTGTGACTGCTGACAGAGATAGTAAAGGGAGCAACGTTGGTGGGCTCTGGAACTTTCTTTTCCTGAAGGGGATTTTGCTGTCATGGCAGAAAATGACTCACAGTGCTATTTGAGTAATGAGAAACCATTGCCTTATATTTTAGTTTTAAAACTCCCTGTCTCTTACACAAAGTGCCATAAATCCCTCAGGCCTGGTGAGTGCCATTTGGGCAGGCATCTGCTGCCTGTCTATTGTGTTCTTTCAAAGTTAAGACAACAGATCGGCCCAGAAATCCATTTTTATCATCTGAAAAGCCGTTATGATAGCTGTCCCGGTTGGCTTTACATGCAATTTTGAAACCACTTAGTCCACTATTGTTCATACTGTAATTCTTATAATCTAAAATTCTCACCCAGTTCCCTCATAGACAAATTTGTAATCAAAATCTCTTACCCATTGTTCTGTCACTCTTTCAGTACTCATTCTCCAGACAATGGTCAAATGTACTCTGGTTTTAAGACTCCTTCAGTGATCGTTGTTTCGAATGTACACAAATATTGTACCAATAGGGAACACTGGTGGTCTAGCAGCAAGAAGCTGCACTGTCACCCCAAAGGTATGCTGTTCAAATCCATCAGCTCCTCCATGGGAGAAGGATGGGCTATCTCCTCCTGTGTGATTTACTGCTTCTGAAAACCAGCTGGAGGGTCAGCTGTGGGTCAGTTCTGACTCTATAGCACACACCAAACAACACAAATATTCACACACTTTCTAGATTTTGAGAAGTAAACAACTTATTATTCACCCTCAGATAAATCTTTTGCACAAATATCTTTTTTTCTAGCTCTCAGGAGGTTGACTGGTGAGGAAGGGATGGTATTATATGGGAAGGGACATGTGGGAGCATGTGTAGTCCAAGTTTGAAGGCTCATCCTAGTCAAGAATGCTCACACTTGGAAATCGACTAATTTATGAGGCATGGTGGTCTGATTCTTGAGCTTGGTTATTTTCTACAGGAACAGTAAAAAGGGTATGGTGATTCTGTGTCTTTTAATTTGGTCCGAAACAAGTGATGTCAAGTAATGTTGGACTTCGGAGTTGCTGCGGAGATTCTTTATGCTGATTTAATTAAAGGCAAGCTTTTGTAGATATAGATAAAAATCCATTTTGATGTGATAATTTGGCTGAAGCTATCAGCTATAAGCTTTATAAGAAACACTACTTTTTAAACTAGCACCCTCCGCTTTTGTAATAATATATTTCAAGAGTGATATATTTGCAGTATCTTGAGTGGAGCCTGGTGGCAGAGCACACAACAGTGGGACAGAGAATGAGTGCAGGGCACCCCTCCAAAAACTGCCCCAATGTACTTTCTCTTCTCCAACCCAAATGTGTAGCTGTTTCTTAAGTCATTTTCTCGGTTGATAAAATGTGAATTGTTTACCTGCCATGTGCCATATTTTTGAAGTAGCAGAGCATAGAAAATGAAAGATATCTTCATTTTCTTTGATCTTATTAGAAGAAAAGCATTTTCTAAAGTGCAGGTTTTGCATTGATCTTTTAGTGACAGATGATGGGCTCAGGACTGGATAAGGGACTTGGTGAGCAAGCTGCTTAGTGCATCATGAGCACAGCTTGGAGGAGCTAGCTCAGTTATCTCTGTGCCAGAGCTGCTTTTCCAGGTTGTGGCTCTTGAATCATTAATTCAAAATGTCTAAGTGACACCTACATTGACATTTATTTATCATAGAGACACATACCTATAATATTTATGTATGTATACATGCATACATTATATATCTATATATATACACACACACAGTATAATGTACACATATTTATAGGTGTAAATAAATGAAGATTAAGGCAAACCTGGGTTTTAATTATAATATGAGATTATATTTTATGGTGGAATAGATTGTGCTCCAATGAAATGCATCCCTAAGATCTTAGTGACTTACCAAGACAAATTTTAAAAAGTTTAATGCTTGTTTGCCTTATATGTGTATTGTGAGTTGATAGGGAACTGCTGCTCTTATAAACACTCTCATTTGGGGACCCAGACTAATACAATAGAACTTTTCTAGAATGTTGCTAAAATAACAGTGGGAGGAGAGAGCGAAAAAACTTGTGAGGCTCTTACAGATCTTACCCACCAGGTAAATGCTTCATCTCTATTCTTATTTTATTAGACAAAATAAGTCATATGTCCAAGTCTGGCTTTTGGACCAAAGGAGGAGTGGCATTATTCTGTATTGTGATTGTTGTTGTCATGTGCAGTCCAGGCAGAATCAACTTATAGTTGACCCTCCAGTGAGTTTTCAGAAGCTTTTTATAAATTTCACTGAAGGAGATTACTCATGGTTCCTGGCTAAAAGGACTACTTAAATAAGTTTCAACACAAGGCTGATTCACAAAGCTTGGAATTTCTGTTGTTAGGTGCCACCAAGTCGAGTACGACCCATAGTGACCCTATGAACAAGAGATCTGAACCCTGACCTATCTGTGCCGTCCTCACACTTCCTGACACACTAGAGCCCATTACGGTAGTCAGTCCACCTGGTTGAAGGTTTTCCTCCCCTTTACTGACCTTCTGCCTTTACAAGCATGATATCCCTTTTCAACACGCCTGAAGTATGTGAGGTAAAGCTTTAGCATCTTTGCCTCCAAGGAGCATTCTGGCTGTAACTTCTCTAAGACACATTTGTTTGTTCTTGTGGCCATCCATGAGATGTTCAGTGCCTTTTCTCCAACACCATAGCTCAATGACATCAGTTCTTCTTTTGTCATCCTTATTCATTATCCAGATCTCAGGTACATAGCAAGTGATTAAAAGGACTATAGCCTGAATCAGATGCACTTTAGTCCTCAAACTAGCATCATTGCTCCTTAATGATTTGGAGAGGTCCCTGACTACAGAATTCCTCAGTGCATTATGTCTCCTGATTTCCTGACTGCTGATAACAAGGGTGTTGATTGTCTTACTTGGATCCACAATCAACCTCCTTCGGATTCTTAGGGCAATCTAAATTAAGAAGTTAAATAGATAAAATTAAATGGAATATATGGAGCTGTCATCTCAAAACACATAGAATTAGCTATAAATTATAAAAAAAGACTATTATCATATTGGACACAAATATATTATTCCAAACAATTTTGAAACACTATAGCATTGTAAATAAAAATGGTCAACATCAGAAAAAGGAAATGTTAGTTTAATTTTTATTAAGCAAAATTAATTGGGATGGATGAAAGTAATTAGCCAGTGCATACTGTTTATTGGAATTAAGTGATTTTAGTAATCAAATATTTTTTCCTTCCTTCCTTCCTTCCTTCCTTCCTTCCTTCCTTCCTTCCAGTCTACTCTTTCCTGTCTTCTGGTCTTTATCCTTGGACAAACGAGTGGTTAAAAAGCTACATTTTTAGCTGTCTTAGTCAATTAGATGAGTATTAAATGA